AGATATAAATTTGGGAGTCATCCACACAGATGTGATAGCTGAAGCTAACAGCAGTGGGCAAGATCTTAAAGGGAGAGAATGTGGAGGGAAAATAACTCCCGGAATAACTCCTGGCCTCACTAGTGCTCCATGCCTTTTTGGTATGTCAACCAGAAGCATGTACTTCTCTTCTGGAATAATACTCCCTGGTTGTAATTTGTTATTTACGACACTGAAATTAATATACCAAGTCTTTCCTCCTTGAGAGTCAAGCCTCTATGAAATCTCCTTAGCAAGTTCAGAGGCTTTTTGCTTCATTGTTATTGGTTACCAATAGGCTCAGGGATTTTTCTCTTCCATATTTAGAAGAGAATGTGTATTTTGTCTTGCCAAACATAGAATCATGAACTGAGAAAATGAACGTTTCTCTCAAATATTTTCTTTCCTAATAGAAATGCCGGACTCCCCCCGAAGCGGCCTATAACTCAGAACCTTGTTAATATTATACATTTTTCCTTCTTCTCAAAATCATTAGGAAAGACATAGTTTTATGAGACAATTTCCACATGATATAAAGGGGAAAGTTTATTCCCAGCATTGTGCTTTTATTGCTATGTCAGCCCATAGCCTAGATCATACTATTGCTTCGTATTAGATCATTAATCTGTTAGAAATGAAAGAAAACCTAGGCATCCACATGAGAAACTCTTTATTTTCATAAATGAGGAAAATAAAATTCAATAACATACTATAAGCCTGTATTATTCCCTAGTAGTTAAGAGTAATCTCGAATCAGACAGACTTGAATTCTAGGCCTGACATTGATTAGCTGCTTGGACTTCAATTCTCAACAGTGAGCAATTCTTCAACCTCTTTAAAATTTAGATCTATATTATGATTATTATTATAATAGCTTTTACATTGCAATAGTTTATAAATATTATAATATGCTTCCTAAAGTACTCCCTGCATATAATACAGCAAATAATATATTTACTATTACTATTATTGTTCTTATGCTGAGGAAGACAAACCACTTTTTCAAGGCTATACCAGAATGAAATGGCAAACAGATTAGAATTTATGGTAAAACTTCTGGTTTAGTGATATTTCTTCTTTTTAAGAGACATTAAAATCTTCTTCAACACAAGTATAATGTTTAATTGATACATAGTACAATCTTAGAATAGATAATAAAATGGAAAAACTCACATAAAAATCACCAAGTGTCCAAATTTCATAATTTGAATAGGGTAAAATACCTTTAAAATTAGCAAAAATATTACACACATAGGTAGATATTGTTTCTCAATATTTGAAGTTGGTTTCATTTCTCTGCAATTTTTATTGTCAGCTTGGTACATGTGGGATTACAAATAAACAATAAGCCAAGGACACCCTGATATATTCAATTTAAATGACTTTAGAAAAAAATGATTTTCAGTAGCTCCATGTTCTTATCATATTCCGGAAAGAACAAGAAAAGGTGGTTGGAGAGTTGGCCAGAAAGGGTAGAAACAGAGTAAAACAGCCGAGTGGAGAAACCAGAATGGAAAAGACAGCAAACTTAAGGAAATAAGCAAGAAGATGGGTCCCAAAAATGAACACTGAGCTTCAGGTGACTTCCAAGTAATGACTGTTTCATCTGCACGGAAAGAAGCAGATGAACAGAGATAGAACCGAGACTGCCACTTTTCTCCCCAGCTCTCCAGTAATAGCCGACCAAGTGCACTTACAGAATTCTGTTTTAAAATTTTGTGTTATATTTATTTATTCTGCAAGAATCAGTCCTCTCCTTCCAATATGTGGGTCTCAGGGAATGAACTCGGGTCATATGACTTGATGGCAAGTGCTCTTACCCGCTAAGACATTGCCTTGGCTCCCACCTAAAGGTTTCTTTTTTTTTTTTTTCTAGCTGTGATTTATACCAGTACAGCTATATCCTGAACACTAATTCAATTGGTTTGTCTATGATTTTTTGTGTGTGCCAACTTTCAGACTTCTACTTCTTTGGACCTTGCTTATCTCAAAAACCAGCCTTACATTAACTTAGGAGAACACATACACCCTGCTGTATTCTTTTCATGTGACATAGTAATAAAGTATTAGGATACTATAGATATAATAGAAATTAAACTGAATGAAATACCAACAATTATTGACAGTAGAAATAAGACTATCAATCTCATTCATTCATCTTGTTATTGGGAATCACAGTTATGGTCTTGTCCGTATTAGGGAAGCACTGTGCTACTGAGATCCCAAACTCTCATTTCTATTCTTAGTTATCACTATTTACAAAAAAAAAGAAAGAAAAAAAAACTTTTTATTAATACATCAACAAGGTGAAGGATAGTTCTCTTCCAGTTTCAGCGTTTTTATTCCTTTCTACTTTCAGTCAGTTGTCTTCCTCTTTCCCACTGTCCATGATTCTGTGTGAGTCTTGGATAGTTTTACCCATCACACCTAAGAAGATACTTGTAGCAAAGTGAGGCCTTTATTACTTCTTATAGTAACTGATTTTATATATGAAGAATTTTACTACAACTTTGCACCTTTCACAAGCTGTAATTAAAGAGCTTGGAAAGTTTTGTCTGGCTGTTTTTGTGTATAATTTATGATTCTTTCAATTGCAACAATTTGTTGAATGCTTACTATGTGCCAGAGTCTGTGCTAAGCAGGCACCATGCCATCTCAAAAGGAAAAATTCATGTGAATTTTATTTTAAATGGAGACACTTGAGAACACATTTACTTTTTTTTTTTCCTGTGATGTTCTACACAGTCTCTTTCAACATCTGGTCACCATTTCATACCTTCAGCCCTTGGCACAATATTTGCTACCACCTGGGCCCTATTATGCCAGTGCCATTCATCTGTTCCATTTTCATGGTGAATAGTGCTGTTTCTAGCTTTTATGAATGAGAAGCATGCTTTAGAGCAGTGGTTCTCAACCTTCCTAATGCTGTGACCCTTTAATACAATTTCTTTGTGTTGTGGTGACCCCCAACCACGAATTATTATATTGCTACTTCATAACTAATTTTGCTACTGTAAGAATCATAATGGAAAAATCTGGGGTTTCTGGTGGTCTTAGGTGACCCCTGTGAAAGGGCCATTCCACTCCTCAAAAGGGTCTTGACCTACATGCTGAGAACTGCTGCCTTAGAGCTTGTATGAGCCCCAGGTACTGTGGTGGGAATCGTTTTGGCACTGCATACAAGCAGAGTATTAATACTATTTTTCCCTGTATCACCTTGTGTCACTATTTTCATGTTGTAGGGAATAAAAGCAAAGTACACTTCTTTTATTTTACATGCAAATTCAGGTCTTGGAGTACATTCTGTAACAAATAACCCTAGATTTGGAATAAATTTTAAGAGATGAAACAGCTGTAGAGAACATAAAAATGAGAAAGGGAGAACTAATTTGGCCTCCAGTCCTACCTCCAGGACTGAACGTGAATTGAGACACTTCGGTCTGCAACTCTGAAAGATTTAGTTAGACTTAATGTTGTCCTCAGTATTTGCATACTGCAACATCAGTTCTGATGTCTTTTTATTTTCTTTTTTAATTTTGCATTTTCATACCAATCAAGTTGCTGAAAACTGTACTTTACAACATAAGAATTTCAAAAATACAATGGCTTCTCTTATAGCAGTACTTTGGGGATGTATTGGAGCTGAGAGTATCCTCCTGGGCTCAATTTTTGCCTTCAGTTTTGCTCAGGTCTTATCTTCAGACTCCATTTCTGTCCATGCCAGTTTGGATGACAAGTCACCACGTTCTGCTTGCATGTTAGGACCCTGCTTTGGTATGTGTTTTTATGCCAAGCCTGGATCAGGAAGCATTAAGCCCACTGCCTATTTTAACTCTGTCTATATCCTGTTCTCTCCATTTTAACAAATGAACCAGTTTCTGACCTTAGATTTCCCCTTTGTGTCTTGAGCCCTTTGTTCCGCAGCCGTTGATTTCTTCTTCCCTATTATCTGCATATTGCCTATGAGTAAGACTTGCTCACCAGAATATACTTTCTGCCTCACTGGCACACCAAATTGTCTGTGAGAACTAAGGAAACCAGGTACAATTTCTCCACAGCAGGCAGAAGACAGCAGCTCCTTAATTTTGAGGCCACGTCGGCCTCCCAGTTAGGAAGCTGACAACACTGATATAATGTCTACATAGACAGGGTTAAATTAGACATGGCCAAAGACTGAGGAGTTCTCACTTGTGATTGGTGAGGACAGAGATTCCTGGAGTCCTGCCACTCCCAGAAGGGTATAAATGGGCAGCACTGAATTAGAATCTTCACAGGTGGTAGAGAGAAGGCAGGCAGAGTGGCCAGCGCAGGCTTAGAAGCAGAAAGCAGCATTCAGGTAAGATTTCTTGTTGCTGTAGTACGTGGACTGTGAAATCCTTAAGGATTTGTATGTGTATACATGTGTGCCTCTCTCTCTCTCTCTCTCTCTCTCTCTCTCTCTCTCTCTCTCTCTCTCTCTCTCGTGTGTGTGTGTGTGTGTGTGCGTGTGTGAGCGTGCATGTGTGCGTACATGCATGCATTTTGGTTCTGAGCACTCAGAGCTCCTTGAGCAAGTCTCACTCAAATCGATTATTTCTTCCCCGAAGCTGAAGATTGCTCCAATTTTTTTCTCCCCTGTCTCACACCTATCACTGATAGGTTATTTCTGAAGAGTTGTTGGTATTTGTTAAAAGGTAAAGCCTTTTTTCCCGAGAAAAACTGGGCCTCTCCAGGATAGCCTAGAGCAGATGAAGAATAACTATATTCAGCTGCATCCATTAAGGAGGAAGCTGGCAAGGGAAGGGAGGGCTAGGGCACTTGCTCCCAAGCCAGATATGGCTTGGAGGGAGCAACCAGGGAATTGAGAAATCTGTGCCAAAGCTGAGGAGGCCTTCAGGGTGATACCAGAAGGCTTGGCATGAAAGCTGTTTGGATAATCATCCCTCACACTTCTGCAGTGCTCTATGCTTTGCAAAGTGCCTCCAGGTCTGTGATTTCACTAGGTTCTTCCAGTACTTCTGTGAGGTGGTTAGATCTGGAGCTAGAGGTAAAGAAACTTGCAAGATCACCAAGTGGCAGACGTGGAACTCCAAAACCAGGGCTCCTGCTTCTTGGTCCTGTGCGCTTGAACTGCAGCAGGCTGGCAGCCTCTGGATGAATGTGAAGGACCAGCTTCTCTGTGGTGAGTAGCTTTTCAAGTGTTCTCACAACAGGCATGGAAACCTCAGAGGGAAAAACTACCTTATTACTGATTGTTACTGGGGACTTGGACTAATGTGGCTCATTATAACTAAGCTACTTTTTAGAATTCAAATTTGCCTTCTTTAGTAGCTAGCCTCTTCTCCTTTTCCAAGCACAGCTATTACCTTGTATTTTTAATCAGTGTTGGGGATCAAACCCAGGGCCTCCTCATGGAAGACAATAGCTCTCAAATAAATACTATGTCCATTTTTTTTCTGCTAACATCATTAAACTCCTGGGCATTTCTGCTGCAAAGTATTAGCATTAAACAGTGAGTCTTATACCTAGTGAGAACCACAAGACTCCCTTCTCTTTACAGCCAGCCACTGGTGCTCTGGTTACTATTTGTTTCTAGACAGCATCAGATTTGGCACCCAAAACCTTGGTGACTCAGACTGCGTGGATAACCTTTTCGAATCGCTTTCTCTGAGTTCTACTCTGATTGTTAATGAGAGCAGGAAAATGGGCATTTTCTCTCCCCAAGACAAGTGTGACTGATCTCCATAGAGCTGAACTTGCAGGTACTTTGTTGGGGCATGAAGAGTGAAGAAAGCATTTCACCAACTAATTCTAAATAGCAGAGGAATATATGTTTCCTTCTGAAACCACCCTTACCTTTGCTTCAAGGCAAAACAGCTAAGAACAACTTTGTTCTTCCTCTCTTTCATGGGTACACTATCCGGCTGACCCATAAATAACTGCTTTCACTCTCAGATTTGTCTGGTTATACCCTAAACCCAAAACTTGAAACACTGAAGACATGGAATGATTTTCCTTAATTATTCAAGCTGCTAGGGGTGACCTTGTTGCCAGGCAATTTATTGAACTTAGGTGTCTGAGGGCGGATTCTACCCAATCCAAATCCTCCTGCTCTATACTTGTAAGAAGGCCCTCTAATATCCATACAAATACAATAGTAGTTTTGCTTATTTGGAGTCCAGTAAATTGCAAATTGCCTTTGAGCCAGGCATGATGACAGTACCTCAAACACGGGAGGCTGAGGCAGAAAAATTGCCAGGAGTTCAATACCAAGCTAAGCTACATAGTGAAATTCAACCTCAAAAGTAAAAGCAATTTGGAAGCTTGCCTAGCTTTGACTTGCTCTACCTCCTGAAATATGTCGTTATTGTTGAAAACTAAATGACAGCATAAAAGCAGAGTCAGTACCAGAAAGCACAAAAAGTACATCATGGAAATCAGTTAATGACATCCATGTAGAAATTTCATTATAATCCCTCACTTAGGTCTCATGCTTCAGTAAATGAAAACACAGTAAGTGTATTAATTGATAATTTAATATGTCATCAAACTTCCATCAAAATGGAAAAATATAGTCAGTATGCTAAAGGCTTTAAAACATTTGAAAGCTCATATATTAGAAGCTTCTATGCTTTCCTTTAATTACAAGTTTGCCAGTACTCTTCTTCAAGCGTGTGCTATACCAACCCCCCTAATTCATGTAGTATGTACGTACAGAAAAGTGTTACAGCTGCATCTGAATATTATAGTGTTTTAAATGAAATTAGCATTGCTTTAAATTGTGTTGACTTTTTGTTTTACTTTGTGGCTGTGATTTCCTTATGTTATTTATTTGTTTGTTCCATTATTCATTTCTTGAGACAGTGTCTTTAAAACCTCTGACTGGCTACAAAATTGCTGTGTAGCCCGTCTGGTCTTAAACTCTTAATTCTCCTGTTTCCTCTTCCCAAGTGCTGGGGTTATAATAAGCAAGCAACCCCACATCGGCTTTATGTTGTACTGGGAATCAAAGATAAGGCTTATGTTGCATTCTAGGTAAATAGTCTATCTATGACCCATAATTCCAGCATGGTGTTTTCTTTTAGTAACCACCATTCACTTTTGTTATGTTGTACTCATGATCAGCAAGAATCTTTTCAATGATGTCTTATAAATGCAGTCGTGTATTGTTGTTAAGGCAGGTCCCCTTATATACTTAATTTTTGGAACTAAATTAATATATTTTGTTTTGTTTCTTTAAAAAGAAGTTTGTGGTAATATTTGCCCTTCCTTTCAAACAAGTATCAAACCAGTTTGCTTTCCTTTCCAGTTTTGTCATTCGACAATTTCAAAAGGACGCTTTTGAGTTGTGACCCTGCTCAGGATGGGAATAAAGAAAGAGTGCCTTATCAATTCCCACTGTCGTTCTGTTGTTAACAATTAGGTGAAAATGCGTTGTCTCCCAACTATAAATCCTATTTTCTCTCTTAACAACTGGGACATTGTGTATTGTTCAATTCAGATATTCTAGCTAGAAGGCAGTCATACAATCCTGTAGGGTTATTTACACTTCCAAAACGGAAATGAGGTTAGTTTGGCCTGACTTGTGTCTCTGAACCCATGCTATCTTATTCAAGATTAAATGGTCTCTGCCTTGCCTGTTTATGTTATCTGGAGTTAACAAAGATAAATCACAAGCCCCCAGTCTTCAGATTATCTTTACTATAATACAAATCCTCAGAAATGAATTTAAAGTCAAATTGATGGAACTCCTGTTTCAGAAGCAGACATTTTAAATACAAAACTTAACCACAAGTCAGTACAACAGACAGAAGTGTTGAGAGAATATGCTGTTGATCTGTTAGGAGAGAAGGTGGACAAGAAGAAAAAAAAAGTATTAGTCTCACCTTTCCCTATTCATTTCAAAAGAGAACTTTTTCCTTCCTGGGAGTTTGTGTTAGAGAACAGGTAAAAAATTTAAAAAGCCCATATTCATAAAATTGATTCAGTCCTGAAAAACAGAGGAATCCAAAACATTTATGACAATTATGACAATTATAAAAAGACAATAACCCAACATCAAAACTTATATTCAAACACATACTAACTAGGCGACCTTGGAAAAATCATTTATTATTTGTGGGACCTACATGCTAAGTTTCAGTTTCTGTAAACATGGATAGTGTCTAGTGAGTCGTGTTGTGATGGTTAAGACGAGATACGCCCCAAACTCCCGAAGCCTTCTTATAAAAGAAGGCTTAAAAATAAGGAGGAATATTACTCAACAGGGATTCACTTCCTACTGTTCTATTTTTTTAGTCTTTTGAAAGGAATTTTAATTTGTAACATTTCCTAAATAAAGGATGTACATGTGAACACAGTGTAGTTTATCAGATTCTCCTTATCTTTCAAACTGATGCCAAGACATTATTAATAAGTTAATGCTGGACATTTAAATACAAATATGCACACATAAACATATAGTTCATCATTCAATAGCAAAGTATTATGTTATATTTCCTATAATATAAATTCCTTATCATTACTTTGGGTTAGAAAAATCAGTATTTCTTATAAGTCAAATTGGAAAGAGGTCATATAGGTTGTCTCATATGGACTAGCAAAACAATCTATTGAATTGTCAGAATGAAACTAGTGTAGTACTCCTAGTTACTTTTAAGTCATCATTAACGTATTTTGATATATATATGCACATGTATGTATACATATATGATTAGATTGCTACATTAATACAATCATCTTATTAATTTGCAGAGCCCACACGCAAAGTTTATAAACAATATACATATTTAAAGATCATTGCTTTGGAATATTAAATATAGAGATATTTCTTTTAGCTATTCATCATACTTTAAATCAAATGTTCCCATTCCTCTAATGAGTCTACCCATCCTCTTGAACTATTTGTTTCTATCAATATCTTTCTCCTAGTAACCCAAACAGGGAACTTGAAAGTCATCTGTAACTTTCTTTTCTTATCCATCAAGTAAAATTAGTTGCCATGTCTATTTCTGAAACAGCTTTCATATTTGCTTATTCTTTTCTAATTCTATTGCTAACCATGATAGTTCATATTTCATCTAGATTTTTAAAAATAAATGAGTTGTTGCAGTGTTTTAATAGCCTCCTATCTGTCTCCAGTCTCTTGCTCCGTTATTATTTGTGTGCCTGCATGTTTCAACCCTACTATTAGAGTAAGAGCTGCTTCAAGCAAGAAGGCATGGCTGGCATCTTTCATATATTCAGTATGGTGCCTTGCTTGTGATATAGGCATCCATGTGTTCCTAAGTAGATAAAATTAGATTGGTCTTTGAATTTCTGCTCATAACTTAAAATTAGTGGGTTTTAGAATTCATATAATCTTCCCAGTTCATATAGTCAAACAAGATTAAAATGATATTGACCATCAACAGCATTCTTTCTGAATAAGTTCTTGGATATTTACTTATTCTAATTAGCTACTCTCAAGAAGGTCACATTATCTGAGAAAATATGTGGAAAATATGTGTATTTTCAATAAAATACAACTTCACTTTTTTGAGATATATGCACACGAGTTGAATTTCAGGCTATCTTTTATGAGATTCTTATGATTACTTGCACGGATGGTATAAGCTCGCTATGTTTACAAGAAAAATCAGTTTTTCTTCCTTCCACTTTTTACAACTTTTCTGTAGATACCTTAAAGGAAGTGAAGAGATGTGATACTAAACCTGACATGACTTAGGATTCTCAGAAGAAAACCTTTATAAATTCAATGCAGTGTTTTGAAGCTGTGCTTTAGGAAGAATATGAAAGGGAAGTAAGATCTAGCCAGTTCTCTCATTACTGAACAGTTACAGCCTTTCATTGTTCATTTTTGCAAAACCTTCAGAAATAGTATATACCAAGTAATTTCAACATAAACAAAATTCTGAATGGATGAGTGCTTCTATTTTCTTCCCCATTTGTTGATGTGTTACAAATACAGTGAGTGAATTTTGCCAAGAACTTGATGTAAAAATAATTTACTCCTTCTCCTTTTTGTTTCTAGCTGTTATTATTACACATGAGTCCCGCCTTAAACATCTAATCCTCCCAAGTACTAATGATTAAAATTTGCCTCTTTGCATGATATTCCACTAGCGCTCTACCTCCAGCTCTGCTATTTTGCTGTGAGGACTTCTGAGCAATTCAAACTTG